CGCGCCTCTGCTTCTAGCAAGCCCGCCCCCGATCGGTTCTCCGCGCTGCAGCACGCGTGGTCAAATAAGCCGGCGCGCTCCTCTCCGCCCCGAAACAAAAGGATAGCCGAGTTGCGTAGAATGCAACGCGAGGTCTCTTCACGCTGCCTCGCTCGTGGCCCGCGGCAGAAATGTGCAGCGCTACGAAAGGCGGCGTTCTCACCGTCTAATCGGCCCAGAGAGCACTCAAAACCCACCTCCCACAAAGAAAAGGAGAGAATAAACGGGGATGTTCCCCAGGCGCACGTCCGGTTTACTACCCTACTCCGTGGAAAGGCATAAAGAGACGAGAACAAGGACAGAACAAAAGAGATGGATAGACAGAATCACAAGCACACTTGGTACTTCAAGATCAACATAGGAGCCGGCAGATGGAAAATCGTAGTAGGATGACCAGACAAAAAGGAGAAAGTGCCTCAGACAGGCTGGCCGACGTTTCGATAGAAGGACCTACCTTTGTCAAAGGCACCTTGCCATCATTGGCGTGCTAGTTTCAAGGGGGCTAGTGTTGACGTCACGTACAGTGGTGGCGCGTGTTGCCGTTGGTGATCGATGGCCAGCAGCGACACGACCCCCACTGGACATGACGTGTATACTAACCCCTTAAAACTAACACCCCAAGCACGATAAGGTGCCTTTGACTAAGGTAGGTCCTCCTATCGAACCGTTGCCCAGCCTGTCTGGGGCACTTTCTCCTGTTTGTGCTGTTTATACCGCGTGAACTTGGGGAAGCACATCCATTTTGCAGGTGATCAGTTAAGCATGTTGATTTTAAGTATTTAGTTAGCACATTTATTGGCATATTGCGCCCTAGAAGAGGTCGTGGAATCTTGTTTACCAAGAATGGTCTCGAATCCAGTTGGTCCCTGAAGCACCCGGAGCGGGCATCGCTGGGCGTCATAGCGAGCACCACTTTAAGTTGTTGTTAATTCTATATTTAGGTAGCAGCGTTGGTTCAACTAGAAATTGCAGCTATGCGGCGAAGCCGCACATTCTTTTTTGCAGTAGCCATGTACAGCGTGTTGTTGGCTTGGCATCATTGTCGTGTCGTCGGCCGGAGATGAACATTAATGGCAATAACTAGTGTAAATGCAGTGCTTTGCATCCGCGCCATTTGGATATGAAAGATTGTACTGAATATCATTTTCTCCGCTGTGCACGTTTCCTAGCGACGTTTTAAAGCAGATGTGCAACTCTGCAACCTTTATAAACCTAGAATATGCAGTAACTGCAACCTTCGTTATTCGCGACTCCCCATCCGTAACGCACTTGTCTCTTGCAGAAAGATACAAAAAACAAAGTAAAAAAACGCCCAAAATACAATATTACAGCTGCATTTATCTCCACACAATAAAAATAAAGATTGTTTACGCGTGAGCACGCATGACAAATAATTACTTTCTTAGTTTCAGAATATAGAACGCATACTTTGCGAAGAATTTGAAAATTACATCTGCGTGTTTAAACGCTGTGAATACACCTCGGTGAAGCTGCCCTTTGACAAGACAAGAAGGAAGATACAATTAGGCTCGCGACACTACACAGTACTTGTTAGTTAACGCAAAGTAAGATTGGCTGGCGCACAGTGAACACCACACGTGTGCTTTTACCATCTCAAAAGTTCGAATAAAGCATCGTCGGAAGTAGGTAGGTTAAGTATGGTTATATTTCACATTGCTCTAAAGCGCACATGATCCCAAGTATACAGAGCTTGGAACAATAACGATCACAGCCTATGGATGATTTCGCCTTTTCCGGCATTGGCATTACAAAAACGCATCATTCTAAGCTTCAAGCTCGCCATAAAGGAGACAAATCTCGTGTTTCTTCAGGTATTTCAAGGTGAATAAACTACGACAGCTCTCTGCACATACTTGGATGACGCAACCAGTCAAATGCGCTTTCTTTTTCTGAATGACAAAACCTTAAGCGACAGTTTTAACCACATCTTAAACCAAGTTTGATATAACACAACCACACTTAAAAAGAATGTGACTGTAAATTGTCTTTCAAAGTTTGTTTAGCTTTATATGCTCCCTGTCGAGTTTCGATCTAAAATATTTCTCTGATACAACTGTTATCACGGCACTTCTCGCGTGTTTTGTTTTGTTGCACAAGAAACAAAGGTCATTTGCAATATGGCCAACAAAAGTTCATATTTAGTTCGCTATAACCAATAATTGAATATGCGTGTTTCTTATAACGAGGCTGAACGGTATTTATAACCTTAACGGGTGCCACGTGTGTTTTTGTCAAGGTGTACACAAAACATTTGTAGCAGCCTGGAGTCACGCGTGACACGCTGACTCTCATGACCACTTGAAAACTATTACGATAGAAGTATTGCGAAAAAAAAAAACTAGAGCAAGGAATGCACAAGTGCAGACTCACAACTGAAAGCTTATTGGGAGAAACAGACCTATAGAAACAACATGGTTGAAAGAATCATGCGGTGCAATGAACTTCGTGAACACACTGAGCAATCTTTCTCCAGTATGCGCAACATAACCAGTGGTCTAGCAACGGCTCTATGACGATACTCATGAATAAAAGAACTCTCCGATACATTTTATGCCGTGCAATATTTGCGCCCGTGCAGCACCTAGGTTTGACGCATGAAGGAACGGCACTTGCTAATATTTTTTTTTATAAACAAGTAGTGCCACTAATGCGTTCCTAGGCTTTGGTTATGTTTGACAAACTTCAGACTGACTATCTAAGCGTCAACCTGTTATTCGAGAGCTTCTTTGTATCATGTTGTATCACATGTGCTATTCTCCGAATACGCTTTCCGTTACAACTCTGGATTTGCGCGAGTGTCTTTCTATATTTTCGTTTTCTCCCCGCTCAATTCCCGTCGTGATGGATTACGAACTCGCTACCGCTCAGCTCTTTTTCAGAATTGTGTGATTTAGACATCAAGTAACTCGACGGTGCAGCGTTCCTCGTTGAAGATTGAGTCAAGAAAATGCCACGCCATTTCGCAATTCCTTTGGCAGCCGTCGCGAGAATTCGCTCAGGCGTAAGTCGAGAGTGACCGTTGCTTATCAGTGGAAGAAACCCGGAACAGGAAGCAGAGATCAGTGGCGCGGCCAGCGCCTTCCGGTTAGCCGCCGGATGTTGAAGGCAAACGAGAGAGTATGCCAGCACTGAGCGGCCTGAATGTGCTCGAAGTGAGAACAGTGATTACAAGGTACGTTAAGTTTAGTCTACTCAGTTCAAACTGAAATTTTGAGCGGATGCACTTCCGGACAGAAAGTTCTTTTTTTGGAATTTACGGGCCGTTGCGGTAGTTCCTTCCAGTTTCCAGATGCGAGGAAAACCCTGTTTTGTGAAATGTTGACTGCGAAGAAACTTTTCAATCGTGGGCTCGGAAGAATATTCCGCAGAGTAGACTGTTGACGGTGGCATGCGAGTAGCTGCGAGTCGGGGCCGAACGGAAAGGGAAGTACAAAAAAAAAATATTAGGTACACAACGGCTCCTAAAGAGGAGCTTGTAACCCAATGAATAATCATAAATAAAAATGTTTCTGTGGCGGGACTTGAAGTCTGGGCTTTGAAAACTGAACCTCTACGTGAACCTCTACAGAAATAGCATTACTGTTTGTTTTTTCACGATGAGTTTATTGTCTTCAATTCAATTCAATTCAATTTTATTTACCAGAAAACAACATAGAGGGACACCTATCTTATCTTGTTTATATGCAAAACGAAAGAATAATTTCAGAGATTGTTACATGTTTCATCTCGCACGTTGCTCGAATTCTCATGTCTTGCGTATAGTCACAAAAGCATGTTGACTTTTTTCACTTCATCCACAAAACTAACATTCATTGAGGAGGTGCGTGATTGTGTCAATGCACTGGAAAAGCTCACACGATGGGCCATCATCTACTCTAATAGTGAATGAATACGCATTCCATACATTCGAGTAAGTCCGTTTCCAAGCCAGAGACGGACCTGTCTTGGCACTCAGATGCCAAGCGTGTTAGTGGCACGGATCAGCCCGACAATCGCTTTCTGGGAGAAAAACTTCTAGAGCACTGACCTAACAGGACTTGAACGCCAGCCGCTCTGAGAGTGTTGCTGCGGTTCCTTCGGGAAACCAGACTGAGCGGCACGTTGGTGCTTCGTTGATGTGTTCCTTTTAGACAATGCTATTGTCATCTTACTTTCCTGCCATATTTGCTAGAGGGAACTCTGGCGCTGCAATCGTTCAGCTACCATGAAAAAGACGAGTAGCACGTGGATTTGCTGGTTTCTGGAGCTTGTGGTTTTGAATGCACTATTGGTTATGTTTATTCATTTGATTGATATGTGGGGTTTAACGTCCCAAAACCATCATATCATTATGAGAGACACCGTAGTGGAGGACTCCGGAAATTTCGACCACCTGGGGTTCTTTGACGTGCACCCAAATCTGAGCACACGGGCCTGTTGGTTATGTTTATTGTTGTGGTTTGGTTTCGAACAGTTCGCTGTTATTTAATTGGTATTTAATTGGTGAGCTTAAAAGCGTCAAGGTGGTGAAGGAAGACAGTTGAAGTATTGTTAAACTTCTTCTTGCGACGAACTTGCCGCAGGTCATACGAAGCCGCACGGAACCGCAAGCACAAAGCTTAGGCAAACACCTGTTCCACCAATGATTCCTTTGTTGACTAAAGCACAGTGCGTGGAAGCTACCGTAGACACTAGCGCCAGATTTCCTTCTGGTGCACACTAACGAGACTCTATGATTGTCATAACTTTTTAGTATCATTACATACATTCTCCTTCTTTCTCATGCCTTTGCACCCCCTTTCTCCTTCCCCAGTACAGGGTAGGCAACCGGAGTTCTTCTTGGTTAACATCCCAGTCCTTCTTCTACTTCTCACTTTCACACAAAAGTTACTCTTTTCGTGCGTCAATGAACTACTTTAGCAACCTTTCTCTCTATCCCTCCCTTTTTTTTATGTTTTCAGACCCGGGCCGAGGAGGTGGCTGCGAATTCCCTCAGCGCTGGCGGGGCGTCTGGTTCCAGAAGGGCGCCCACCCGGCCATCAGCATAGAGCGCACGCAGATCACATTCAAGGGAACCTGCGTACAAGCTGACGGAGACATGTTCCTCATCGAAGACAGGTACGCGGCAACGTTACAGCAACATGCCTTTAACTATTGCACGACAAGTTCAGGGCGGGTAGACGACGTGGTTTCCGGTGCGACTTAAGTACGTTCATACTGACGTAGACGTGCTCATAAGATGGACTGGAACGTTGTCGCCAATGGCACACGATGTTCATAGCGTCTTGCAGGGACGAAAGCGCTTGGGGCGTGAACCGAAGCGAGCAAAAGAGAGCTTTTTCGCAAAGCCTCAGCAAGAGCACAGATATTGGATAAGCGCTTAATCCATCTCTGTACTGTTGTTCGCATTGTTTCTCGTTTTCGAAGTGAGCAATACGTCTGCTGTTTGTCTCCCGATATGAAGAAAGTCGAGGCAGCGAAGTGGAAACAGGGCTTTAAAGCATTTGGCTCACTGCCTCCGCGAACAGCGTATATGAATTGAGCTCCGTCTAGCGTATCTTCTCAGCAGGTTCGTCGAACGCCACAATAACAAGACTGTCACAAAACCAAGCTGCCCCGCCGCCGTTGCCGTTGGCCACTCACGATGCGTTGGATCATTGGAATTCGCGAGCAGCTCTCATAACGAGTTCTTATCCGCGAAGAAGAGCAGCAAGGGAGGGGAATCGAGATGACGGGCGCCATCGGTGTCATTCCGGGTGTGACGCCTCGCCTGCCAGGTGCGGGGGTCGACCAAACCGCTCGGAACAACGAGCAGGCGCTCGGTGCTGCTCATCGGCTCCGTGCAACGACCCGCGCGTTGGCTGCTCTTGGCTTCTCTCTCCTCCTATGGCTTCGGCTTCCGCCTGTGCCGAAACCAGGCGCACACGAAGATGTGAAAAATAGACTGAGCGGCAGCAAAAAGGAGCGAGTTATAGGTGCCAATGTGTTGTTTTCGGCGATTACGCTGGCAGCGTAATCGAAGCTCTTCTGGAAAGGCCGCCAGCGAAGCGGCAGCCGCTGGAGGGCGCGTGCTGGCGGTAGCGTTGATTTGTTTCGGCCGGGCGGGGGGGGGGGGGGGAGAATGGGTTGGGGGGGGGAAGGGAGGGGCAGCTAGCGAGTGCGCCGGCTGAAATATGTGCGCGCGACGCCGTTAGCCGTCCCATTGATTGGCGGGTCCTGGCTTGAGTCGAGGTATAGGGAGAAGGGGGCGGCGGGTCTCGTTGTCTTCCTCTCCCGTCCACTTCCTCTCCAGCTTCCGCAGCCGTCCAGTGGTTCCGCTCTTCACGGAAGCGCTCGACAGGCCGCTCGTGATTGATTCCGCCCTTTGAGTGACGTGCGAGCGTCGCACGTTATACGGTTTAGCGCGACGCGCTAAAACTGTCCCGCGTTTTTCGGAGCCCGTTTTCTTTTGCTCTCGGCCGGTTACGTTTCCGTTTCCGACGCTGACCTGACTCGAATCGCTGTCTCCCGTCACTCGACTTCCTCCCGACGCCTGTGCGTAGGAATCGTCCACCCGAAAAAGAAAAAAAAAGGCTCGACGCGGTCAGCGCACAGAAATTTCGCGCCTCGTGGACGCCTGAAACTGTGCGCGCAACGCGAGTTTCCGGCGGACTTGACATAGCGTGGCACAATCTTTTCCCACCAACAAATGGAGGAAACTATAATAGGGCTCCCCCAAAGGCCGTGGAACACGCTATGTATGGGAAAAAGTTGGACCAGTACAGCAGTACTCCAGTGAAAACTTTTGTCAGGCTAATTGTGTCGCAACTCGCGCTCTGGAACGCTTTCGATAGTTGAGTTGTACCTGCGTAACTTGCGCAGCACTGTTTATCGTACACTGATGTCCCAAAACAACCATATGATTATGAGAGACACCGTAGTGAAGGGCTCCGGAAATTCAGACCACTTGGGGTTGTCTAACGTGCACTCAAATCTGAGTACACGGGCTAACATAATTTTTGCCTCCATCTAAAATGCAGCTGCCGCAGCCGGGATTCGATCCCGCGACCTGCGAGTCAACAGCCGAGTACCTTAGCCGCTAGACCGCCGCGGCAGCGCTCTAATTATTATACAGACCGCTTCCCCTACCACCATTTATATATAGTTATACATCTCTACTTTGTTTCACCAATAACATGGCTACCTCTCTGATGTTTCGTGAAACTGGTGCACTGTGTGCTGTTTTACGCTTTTTTCTGAAATGGCATTGCTTGGATGCTTTACAACATTACAGCAATTCAAAAAAAATGAGACCTCTTTTTTAAAGTACAAAACTACGTTTCACACGTTGCTAATGACCAAGGTAATGATAATTCTTGTGCAATCAACAAATACACGCACTCACCCAATTAGGTTGGGTTCATATACAAAAATCGCGTCAAGATTACTATAAAATCTCGTTCCCTAACTGATGCATCGGGCTCAGGTGTGAAGTGCAGTTGGGTCGGCGTCGCCACAGTCTGTGTATAGCAATGGCCGGTTCAAGTGAGCATAACACCTATAGAATAGAAGCCTTGCGGGTTTACTAACAAGTGTACCTACAAGTACCTTCACCACAATCGTCTTGCAAATATACGTATCAAGCGTGCAACTGGTCAGCGAACGATTGAAAAACAATATTAGACTCAATATCTGTATCGACCGTGTTTAACAAGGCTTTCATGGTGTAACGAAGCTCGGGCAGTAACAAGGTTTCGAGAAAGCCGTTCCAAACTTTCACTGGAAAGATCGCAGAGGAAAGAAACGTCTGACGTTCCTCTGCGAGGCGCAAAGAACCAAGAAGGAAGCCCTATAGGCCTCATCAAACGGGAAATTCGTCCGTCGATAGGGTCGGGCGTGATTGATGAAAAAAAAAAAAAACAACATCACGTGATGACATCACCATGGAACGTCATCGCGACGTCACAAATACTACCGGGGCGTGATGTGACATAACGCCGCCACATGATGCCTTCGTAGCGCCCTCCTGTGGGTGGCAAACGTAACCGGAGAGCACGTGACCTCGAAAGAAGAAGATGGAAACGACGAAGCACGTGAAGCCACGGCTCCTCGTATTGCCCGCTCGCTTATAAATCAACCGAGAAGAAACAGGATTTTGGCTCCCGCTTAGGCCATCATCATCATCATCATCATCATCATCATCATCATCATCATCATCATCATCATCATCATGAAGTCGTCTTAGGTCAATGCGGCAATGATTCCGTCAGTTTTTCAATTTTAGAACGGTATTGCAACCTCTCACGTACTTGCTCATTTACTTCTATAGCATGTACTCTCGTAGACTCCCGCATGCGTTCATACTTTCAGATTTATTCGATACGCAAGTTCAATTACGAATTCAACAAATGCCCTTGTCCGCGCCACTTTCTTTTATACGATGTCGGGCGCTGCAACCCGGTCTGGCACTTAGCTATAGAACCTTCAGCGCGCTTAGAACATGATCCACGCTGTTTCTGTGTTTGTGTTCGCAGTTGAGTATCACCAGCCGATCGCGCAACTCCGGCTGTTTTCCAGGTCACGTCTCGTCCGAGTTCGTATTGTATTCTGCGCGCTGGTTAGGCGCGACCATTTCCGCGTCCAAGCATGACGAAGCTGCTTCCTTCGACCGGCGAGTCTTAAGAGACCACCTGAGAGCGCTTCGCTCTGTTGCTCGTCGAGACCGCGCAACCACCATTCCGGCCCCTAATGTGCCGTGGAAAAACATAGATTTCAAGTCTTAGCGCTGCAGCTATATAGGTCTTTTTTTTCTACTTCCCTTCCCGAGCCAAAACGTATACGGCGTTGCCTCGGATACAAATTAGTAAATACAGCGCGGGAGGAAAACGGCGCGCCGACTCGTCAGAGGCTAATGGCCCAAGAACTCGGGAGCCGGGTGAGATTAGTTCGCTAAGGCCGGCCCGAGACCGCCCTTATACCTCGGATCCGAAGGCGGATCAATAGCCTCGCTCGCCTTTCGGCACCGCGCGCCTCTCCTCAGCCGCCTTCGATCTCCCCGCCGCGAGAGACGCCAAGGCCGTTCCTTCTGGTCGGCTATTTGTAAACCGGTGACGTTATTGGTATTGATTGTGAACATACGTGACCGAATCGCCGAGCGGGCACTACTACCCCGCTTTTCTTCGTGACGGCAGCCGCCGAAGTTGCGCAGCTCCGTAAAAAGAACGTCGGTTCTTTGCCTTGTCGTGTATACCAGAGCCTGCTATACCCTCCGGGCCAATCGACGATAGCTGTATGGAGACGCTGTCTGTTTGCTGAATTGACGAAAAAAAAAAAAAAGAGAAGTCAGGGTAAGTGAACTGACGCAGACGGCGGGAAGGAGCTGATGCATTTCGACTACCTCCGAGTGAACCGGCTAATGTAGATGATCGAGACAAGTCTGCGTATTTGTTTTTTAATGCACGTACACGTCCAGTTCGACAGCGCCATGAATCAGCCAAGGCAAGCGGCGGGCCTAAACGGTTTTTGCTGCTTGCGCCGCAAACCGGGTCACGCGTGCGGTTTCACTAGTGGGTATTCACATACCGCCGAAGCTTGGCGCACGTACCAAACTTCGGTTTTCTAAAATTAATGGGAAAGAAATGTTCCGAATGTATACACGGGACAGCGGGACATAGGGGGCACCCGGACCGCTCCGATTGCATAGGCGATATAGCGGTTTTTTTTTTCGCGTTCACTGCCTTTATTCCACGCGATATCGCATCATAGAAACTTATTTCTTCATAAAGCACGTGTACAATGTAAGCACTAGGAGTTGAGCCTGTCCGGACTTCACGCTTTTCGACTACACGTTGTTATCTCTACTTGCGCAGTCTAAAACGCAAAAAAAAAACGAAGTGAACTTATTTTATCGCGAATGTAATCACGCGAGGCAAGGCAGAACGAAGGCGCGACTGGATGGCGAAGCAGGATATAGAGACAATTAACAACTGGTCTCCCTTGTATACGGACCACTCGATAGGTTACAACCTTGTGACATCACTTGAACAGACTGACGGCCTCGCGAATTCCTCAGGCAAGGTAAGAAACGCCAGGGGATATAACCAACGCGCTGCTTCGTATCTTCAGAGGTTAGTAAAGGCCCCCCCCCCCCCCCCCAAACAAGCTCAGGAAATGCGGAAAACGAGCGCATCGTTCTCTCCCGGCGTTTTTCGCTATAGCGGCACAATGTGTGACGCCAGCTGTTCGTTCACGTGACGTCATGCAGGATGAAATAAGCTCTCAATTAGTTGATATAAAAGAGATACGTCTTGAGCACTGTCGCCTATCCTGCCTTATATAAAATCGACTGTTAACTTTCCTCTGAAAATAAAAAAAAAACACTTCCTTGCAATCTTTAATGTGTCTCCGTAACCCCCTTAATAGTAACAAAATCGTTCAATTCTTGTATGTAAGTATCACTACGTCCAGTGAAAGTTTACTGCGTAGTTGTTATTGCTCATTGCCTTTCTTTTGTTTGTGTATAAAAATTACATATTTCTGTTATCTTACCCCAGTTCGAGTATCTGAATATATCTGTCTGTACAATGCCTAACCTTCTTTACTATATCCGCAAAGTTTAGCATCTTGTATCCTGGTTCAATGCTTTGTTCTATTGTTTTGCTACATGTGCTACTGTTGCCTTGTGCTATTGTTTGGATACTGTGCCATATTGTATCGCATCATTGGACCCTATTCAAGCCTTTGGCTATGGGTCCAAACAGTTTTTTGATCTATCATGTTGTAATTGAAAATAAAGTGAAATGAAATGAAATGAAAATCCAGTAGTCGCATGCCCTGTCTGCCTTGTCTCGCGTGACTATCGTGCGCGATAAACTGATTTCACTCCATTCGCTGCGTTTGCTATTGCGCAAGCGGAGATCGCAGCGCGTAGTGTAAAAGCGCGAAATATTGACTGTCTCAATGCTTAGAGCTGACACTACGCGCGTTTTACGAAGAAATAAGTGGCGAGGAGGAGGCAGCTCTTGTAGTAAGGGTGAAAAAGGCGAGAAAGAAACTACCGTGTGGCCTTTGAACTCGGGCGGGATTCAGCGGTCTCTCCAGGTACCCCTTAAGATGCAAACCAAAAGAAGCAGGGTATACATCGAACAGCGCCAAATGACTCACATGCATCGCCTCGCCGGCTTTTGTCTGGATTGCGGTTTCGACCGCGATATGTAGTTCCCGCCTGCACACATTTTGTACACGCAGCGGAACGCTACGTATAGCCCCGCCGCAGTGTTCTAGTGGCTAAGGTACTCGACTTCTGACCCGCAGGTCGCGGAATCAAATCCCGGTTGCGGTGGCTGCATTTCCGATGAGAGGCGGAAATGTTGTAGGCCCGTGTTCTTAGATTTGGGTGTACGTTAAAGAACCCTAGGTGGTCGAAATTTCCGGAGCTCTCCACTACGGTGTCTCTCATAATCATATGGTGGTTTTGGGACGTTTGACCCCACATATCAATAAAAAAAAAATCACGCTACGTATATTGGAGCAGTAGGGAACGGTTCATGTCAGTACAGTTCGAAAACTTTCGAGCCTGTACTATCGGCGTCAAATGAAACGTGAACAGCGGCAAGCAGCGGTATGTATAGCTTGCGCAGTCCAGCCATCACCACTGACGTCCGCGCGCATCTGGTTGGACAGCACTGCAACGACGCGTGTCCGTGGATGGACGGTCCGCACTCGGCCGTCATGGATGCCTGCCGTTGTTCCCTTTTCGTTTCGTAGCGATAATACGTCTGGTGTTGAAAGTCTCGATGCCCCAAACCGGATCCAATGTTTTGATTGATTGACACGTGGGGTTTAACCTCCCAAAACAACCATATGATTACGAGAGACGCCGTAGTGGAGGGCTCCGGAGATTTCGACCTCCTTGGGTTCTTTAACGTGAGCACACGGGCCTACAACATTTCCGCCTCCATCGGAAATGCAGCCGCCGCAGCCGGGAATCGAACCCGCGACCTGCGAGTCAGCAGCCGAGTACCTTAGCCACTAGACCACCGCGGCGGGGCTAGATCCAATGTTTGACGAGTGCTTAGTATACGGGACTTCTACAAAGAGCTCAACTGTGAGCGAACGTGCACCTGCCCAACACTGATAGCAAGTGGACATCCAGTGCGACCGAATTACATCCGTTGCCGCGCACAGATAAAAATAAAATAAACGACGATTGAAAGTCTTAGCTTATCTAGGAAACGGAACGGACACACTGAGTTACTCGAGTGCCTCGTGAAATCGATGAGAAACATTAGTTTAATCTGCACAATGGATGTACCCAGTGTCGATAAGCAAACGAACTTTCAATTGTAACGAGCTTTTGCTGTTTTAAAGAGTACAGAGAGTCTATTCTCAAATGTCTGTTTCTGAAACATACGCGAGAGTCTCAAATAGATAGCGTGCAATTAATACAATTAACTCGCTACCCGGGCATGAATGGGCAGCAGCACATGAAACGAATAAGCACTGTCGATATAAAGCAAAAAAGCAAGAAAAACAAGGAGAAATGAATTAATGTTATCGTAACACACTCGACGTCAGATGAAACCCGTAACAACTTCTATATATTTTTTATTTCTCACGCTGATTTATTTGACTACGCAGGGAGTAAATTTTGGATTTCACAATGCCCGTAATGTATAGACGACACATGGAAGCCCAGGTCATTGTGATCAATAACTCGTACGTCGATATCTCGTCCTCGACTGCAAATACTTCTTACAAGCACTCCGTGAGCATCGACGTCCAACAAACGATTCATCGCTAATCTTTTTTTTTTCTTTTTCTCTTCCTTGCAGGAGGGAGCGGTGTTTTCGTTGCGTTGCCATATACGAGAAGCACGAAAACGTTCTTCAGTACAGAGAAAGTACGTTTATATTGACTTCTTTCTAGCTTGTTAGTTTGATAAGCACGACCTATGTGTCTGCCTTGTGTACGAGGCTGTCGTGAGCGTCCGTAACGGCAAAAAGAAACAAAAAACTACCAAATACAAAAATTATCGACGTCACCAAATCAATCTTACACGGTTTCTCCATTTTATACACCCCTGCAGCGTACTGCGACGAGTTCGACAACCTGAAGGAAGCCTGCCATTTGCTGAACGTGGACGCACACCTGCATTCTTTGTTCAGGGGTGAGTAACATTCTATTCTAGTGAGTAACTCTCCGAGCACTTGTGAGGTACATGGATAGCTCTCTTTAACGCTTATTGTAACTTTTTGTTGGGTACGTTCCTAACTAAATTTGAGGCGGCAAAAACGCCAACCACTACATAGAACACAGGATTGAGCGTCACTAACTAAAGATAACAGATCAGTTGTTAGTGGAACTCTGTCCCGTGTCCTATTCTGTGGCTGGGGATTCTCGTGTCTTAAAATCAATTAAGATCTCTTCAACGCGTTGATTGCATGTGCAAAGAACTTTGTTTTCTCGTTCTTGTTGGCATATCTTCGCCACTTCCGCCAAGTTTGTTAGAGTCAAATCTGCTTCTGCAGCCGTAAAGTTTCATAATAGTACACTTGAGAGAATTCTAGAGCTAGTTTCTATGAAAACTGAAACGCATAGCACTTTAGCCCTACATAGATTCACCATATATATATATATATATATATATATATATATATATATATATATATATATATATATATATATATATATATATATATAGTGACATTGGCGCAGAAGTAAGGCGTCGCCTACTTTTTAGCCCTTAAGTGAATAGTGAGCATACATATTACAGGAAAAAAAAAAACAAAGAGCAGTACGTGGAAAATAAAACACGAACACACATACGTAAAAACACACTCACACGCACGTATCAAACAACACCATCACAACGTATAAGGAAATGTTCGAAAGTCAATGAGTAATGCCCCCTGTGTTATCATTGAATCCAATCGGCACAAAACAGCAGTCAACACGTCTGGTATTCACGGAGATCAATTCGCTCATGTGTAAATAACAGTCGACACGTCATACACTTCAGCACAACACATGCGAGTGGAGTCGCATGATACCGCGTACAACAAGTACGACATGTGGTATAAATTAAAGTTCCCGATTCCTTAGTGATTGCCAACGACCACGCTGTCTTCTGAAGAAAAACGTTTTTTAACGTTTTTAAAGCGTACGTCTGTGAAGCGTAAATTTCGTTCTTCTGGATCCGCATGGCTTCATGTCACCTGCAGGCACTTACTTTCAAGACGAAGTTCGGCAAAGCTTCAGTGGTCCTGCTTAACCATCTCGACTCTTTTAGGCTCACGAATCAATCAAGTTAGCTTACGAATTCACAAATTAAAATCAGCTCGCGAAGTTAATGGCGAGCCATTCTTTTACCAAAACAAAAGGCAAAACGCAATAAAAAAGCCACAAGTTACTCCGAACTCGTCAGCATGAAGACCAGAAAAATTCATGTACTACACATCATTATACTACGGTGGCTGAACAACCAAAGCTTATGAAAGTGCTGATAAACCTGTTGAGAGAGTTCGTACAGCACTAGCAAATACATCCCACAATGAATCAATGTTAAAAAAATAGGTTTATATTGATAGGTTAATAACATTTGCATGCTATAGCACTGCAGCCTGCCCAAGCCGATGCGGTCAATTTCCTCTGTAACAGTTGAAGCACTGCACTACTTTATGTTGCACCAGTTTTCATGAATGTTAAAGGGATACTTAACAAATGCTGATTAGAAGTGGGAACATATAGTTTTTGTACTGAATTACTTGTCAAGACCGTGGTTTTAGTTTAGAAGCAAGTTTGGGCCAGAGAACATATTTTCACAGTTATTGCAACGCATGAAATTATACGCGTTGGAACACACAGCTCGAATCATTTGCTTTGCCAGCGCTAAGCTAATGGAAGGAAAATATACATTTGAATTTACCATTCGATTCGTAGAATAAGCGCGATCGAGTTCGTCGCAAAGCGAGATGCCGCAATGTCGGTCAAAAAATGACGTGTTTTCAGTTAAAGGAAAACTTTAAGGGTTCATTTTGCTTTGTTAGACCCAACATTAATGATAACTAACAGGCAATTAAATAGGGAAGAGTATATGACGTGTTATTTGTAGTATTTATGACGGAAACGCGGGAAAGTAAAATGGACGAAAAGATAACGAGCCGCTAATTTGCGGCCTCGAAGAAAATTCCGCTTGTCTCGGAACGTTCGCTACAGCAACACCTCGTCTGTCAACAGTTTTACGTATTTTCAAAGTTTCATCTTCTCCCGAACTTCCACTCTGTTTGACGTCACAGATTCGTTAACGCGCTCAGGTTTCGGCGCCAAATTCAACAATGTTAACAACGAAACTTTGATCTCTATTTTCGCTTCTCATAATTAACCCGTGATGGCCAAATTGGAGGCAACAGTGCTCTAATAGAATCATTCATCTGTGTCACGTCAACAGGCCCGAAGAGTGTTCCACACTCACCGCAATGGCGACAGGCGGCGCCTCGCGTTTACTGAAGCTTACCGAGATTTACTAACGCGACTGACGCTCCCACGTTTAAATGAACACATATGCCCTATAAGATGGACGCTGGGATGACCGCCACCGTAGCTCAGTGGTATAGCACCAGACGCGTTATTCGAAGGTCGCGCGTTCAGTTCCTTCCCACGGAAAGTCATATTTTCGTATAACTATCAGTTAAAGCGCACGAATAAGGGTGCACGTTAAAGAACCCCAGGTGGTCAAAATTTCCGGAGTCCTCCACTACGGCGTCTCTCATAATCATATGGTGGTTTTCGGACGTTAAACCCCACAAATCAATCAATCAGGCGCACGAATAAACAGACAGGAAGAGAGGACAAGCGCTTCCTGTCTGTTTATTCGTGCGCTTTAACTGATAGTTATACCATGCGTATCCAACTAGCCCAACTTTCGATTCTGTTACATTTTCGCCCACCTTTCTTTCTTCACAGTTACATTGCAATTGCTTCCAATAACATATCCTATACTTTTCTTGGTATCATTGACAGTTCGTTCTCATTAATTATATGTCTAAATGACTTTCTTGTGCCGCTTGAAAGCCACGTCCTTTCTCTTTTTTGGCCGCAGTGGAGGCGTCTCCGGTGGCGTGTCCCTTCCGGGGCCCCCTGACCTTCACGTACAACCGCGGCCACGGCGAGTGCCGGCACCCAGTGTCCACGGTGGACTCGTGCTCCGCCGACTGGCGGATACTCTTCAGGTTCCAGGCCTGCGCCGACGTCCACGGCACCGAGAGCAGCGGTACGTGACGAAGCCGAGATCTTTCGAGTGTATGCTTACGATCAAGACGATACCGACTCATTCCTATTTTTTCATTTCGATATGTATGCACATATCTCTACGACGCTCAGTGCGACACAGGTGAGCTGGTCAAGATCCACGTTAAAAAAAAAAAAACAGCAGTAGTACCGCGTGCGAATACAGGCGATCGGCGAAATTCCCTAGGAACGGTGACGCAAACGATTATTCGCCTGATCTCGCTGTCGGCTTTCGTGATGAAGGTGGCAGCGTGATCAGGCGATCAGACGATCCTACCTGGTCTCAAATAACAGTTCTGGCTGTCCCAGTTCTTTATTATATATTTATTAACTTCTCACTACCTCGGGCGATCGAAGAATATTTTGTGATAACGTACATTCGACGTTTTCAGCTGCGCTCTCTCTGCGTAAACTCAGCGAAGCCGTTTCTTTGCAGTGGAGGAACTGACATGCCTGGCGACTTGGAAGGAAGGTTCGGCCTACTACCTCGTCGGCAAAATGGTCCAGAGGAAACTGCACGCGCTGCCTTACTCGGACGGCGACAGCTACCGTTGCTTTGTGAGTATCGGGCAAACGCGTTGCCATGTACTACAGAGTGAAACGCACCAAAGGCGAACGCCTCCTTAGCATTCAAGCCGTCGAAACTAAGACACTTATTCAACTTTACGAGCGAAATGCCCGTTAAATGACGTTTAACCGTCGCGCAGACCAACACAACAATAATTTTTCGCTTTGTGTATCGAGGGCCCTAAAGCATCCCGGATAATTTCTTTAACAGCGATATTGTTCAGCAAGCTTTCCTTGTCCGGCGAACCATAAGAAAAAAAGGAACCGTATCATAAACCGACGTGCGCCACAGAATAAATTGGGTAATTCCCACTATACATCGCTGGTCCACTAAATGTGAAGAAGGCGACGGTTAGTCTAAACAAATGGTTTTACATTGACGGCGGAAACTGCAGCACTAAACTTTGGTTCCTCAGCTTTGGGACATTCCCACAGGGATGCTTTCAATGCGGTTTGCGATTACATTCCGGCATCCAAACGTATCCCATTGTGTTTTTCAACCAAATAATTCTTATTTAGTATTAGAAAAATTCTAAACGGTGAGGTGAAGTAAACGCAGCTGAGTGGTAATCAGAACACATCTGAAATCTCAAAATTTCTCAAATTGACTTTTCCATTTTTTTTCGTTTGCTCTCTTTTTATGTGGTTTTCCTTACATTAGTCATATTATAATACAAATTCATTTTTACACGTAGTTATAATGCTCACAGAAAAAAATGCACTACGCTTTCTTGGCCAATCTATCTGAGTGGGTGTGAGCCATGAGTCCAGGGAAACAAACAAACAAACAAACAAACAAACAAACAAACAAACAAACAAACAAACAAACAAACAAACAAACAAACAAATGACTGCGAAGCGACGGCGGCGAGTCGAAGACCCCGAGTACATTCGACGAGAGAATACGAGGGAAAGGAAAGGCAGAAGGGTTGCCGACGCGGAAATTTTCCCTATCAACAGGATTGAAAGAGGAAGGACAGGGAGGTTAGCCAGTTCTCAGACCGGCTGGCTACCCTGTACTGGGGAAGGGGGATAAAAGATGAGAGAAAAGAGACGTTGAAAACAAAAAAACGTCATCAACAGGAATCGCAACGGTGGCTGCAAGAAGGCCCCGACTTGGTCGAAGGTCTACGCCAACGACGATGACGCACGTACCTCCACGTCAGGTGCGAACGCAAGGTTTTGCATAGCCAGGTTCTGTCCCTGGAGTTTCGACATCCGCGTCGTGTCTGTGACGGTCGGTTGCTTAACTCGAAACTTCTGCGCGATGGAAATCGACGTAGAAGCAACCTGGAATCACCTAGCAATCTTCCAGAAATACCTAGAAGCAACTAGATTGGTCTTCAGGATCGTCCAGTTCTGTTTTTCAAGCTAACGCGGCTTAGAGCAAGCTTCGCCAATGTTTTTTTTTTTTTTGACGATTCAAGTAAACACGCGTATCGATTTCAGAATGTCATAAGCAATGCCTATGAAGCCTGATAAGACAGGGACCACAGAAAAAAGGACAGGACGTGCGCTAGTCCTGTGTGGAAGCGCATGTCCTATCGTATTTCCATGGTTCACGGCTATGGCTTCGTTCCGTATAACCATTACCAGCTATAGCCCAAAAGCGTGTTATCTCGAACAAGGCCAAGTGCTGCAGCAATACGAGTCGAGGATGCGTCGCAAATTCCTATACGCAATCCCTCCTTCTCTCCGCGCCTAATCCTCAGCGTAGGCCGTGACGTCAACATTCGCGTCTGGTCACGTAAAGAACGCTTTTGCTCGTGGGCGCGCTCACTCTCCACTCTTCCTTTTCGCGGTACGAGGAGGAGAGACGAGCCGATAAACGAAGCCGGTGAACTAGCAAGGACCATAGAGTTTCCCAATATACACTAGAGGGAACTCTGGCGCTAGTGTCTATGGAAGCTGCAACGCACGGCGCTTCAGCGAGCATGGTAATGATGGTTAGTACACACATTCGTACTTATGGCCTGCTTTTGGCGCCGTGTGTGTTCGTGTGGCTTGAAGCTGTTTTCTTACGAAACAAGTATTAGTGAAAATTCGGCGGTTGCGCTTCACCATTATATTTTTTAGACTTACTTTCCAAATCGGCTCACGAAGTTCAAAAGGGTTCAATCTTTCCTTCAAAACAAAACCGAAACACAGCAATAAACGAAGCCGCAAGTATATACGATTCGCCGCCCGCAAGTACGAAGACTAGCCAAATGTGTGTGCTACCCATCATTCCCACGGTCGCTGAACGGTCGCAGCGCCAGAGTGCTTTCTAGTTAATTTTAGGAAACTCTATGGCAAGGACCTCCCTTGCATCATAAACGAGCGTAACTCCGACACTGACGGCGGAATTTCTGCGAAACGAGTGGACGACGAGCGAAATAATGGAAGCGTACAGAATAAGGAAAGCAGGGGACAGTTGCGTCAGCCAAGCGTCAGTTCAACTAACAGATTCGGAATTTGATTTTTTGGACGTCACATAACCCAGTGCTTTTTCTCTGTGTTACGTTTTTTTGTTTTTTGTTTTTTGTGTTTTTAACGTTTTCTTTTCTTAGTTCTTGGCACGTGTTTGCTTCCGGTTGTGGGCGCGTGCGTATTTTGTTATATCACGTTGTTGATGATGACAGGGGAAGTCGGGAATGACGTACATGCATGTGGTGTATTTATTAGTGTTCGCTTCGAAGTAAAAGTTTCAGTTGCCAGTAAGCGCTTGTCTGTGTCCTCTCTGAGTGTGTGTATTTTTGCGCTTGTCTTATCACGAGCTTTTTAACACTATCGCGTTAATAATGCCCACTTGACGTTCGGCTACTGCGCAACGCCATCGGCGCTCAAATTTCGGTCCGAATAAAACGAAGACTGTTACGTGCCAGTGAAACGTTCTCGATGGATTCGCTAGAGCTCATCTCCGATTTGAGTCGGCACTCAGCTATCGTGTTAATCTGTAATCCGCTACAGCTGTCGCTGCGCAGATTAATTTGCAATCAGTCGAGTAATCCGCATCATCTGCCGTTGCCTTCGACCTTTCGAAATAACCGATCACTCTTGCTTAATATGCGCTAGTTAATATTTTCCAGAAAACGTATCTCATAAAGCACGACTAAACGTGTAGGCTTTACACCAGGATTTTTTTTTTTTTAGTTTGACTCGCCTATACATTCAGAGCAACTCAGTTGAGCAGACATACTGCTGACGAAGCCTAAATGTCTGATAATGTAGAGCGCATGCTTATTGTTATTTATTTTATTACGTTATAACTTCTATCAGATTATCAAACAAGACGAAAGTATGAAATCACAAGTTTTTTTTTTTTTTTAAACACAGGGAAATATCTGAAAATGTTATGAATTTGTGTTGTTGTGACTTCAGTAGGCTTGGAGCAACACTTGGGCTTGCAGATTAACAAGAGTTTATTAACAGCAACAGTTACAAAGAAGGAATGGGCGTTAACATAAGTTGGCTGCCTTTAATACGGGCAGTAATTATGATAGTAATTGAATAACTAAGCAACGCCGACAAACATGGGGCTGCAACCTGATGTAGTGCTTCCAAATGATAAAATTAGTGCTACATTTACCGCTAATCCTACCTTCTCAAACGGATATATGGCACTCTTTGCACTTATTTGAACATCAGCTGCAGAATTAGAAAGAAACGGCGTATTGTACCGATTTCGTTGCTAAACATGCACAACGGGGACGCCTTCTGCCGAGCTCTACGTTTGTAAGAACTCAACTGCAGGTTTAGACAGCGTAATATGCAGTAACAGTAGTTGTTTCCGTATTGTGAGATTGCCATTTGCCGATGCGAGAAAAAAAAACTTTTTTTTTTCAATCTCTTTAGTGTGCCTTTGACGCACTTTTCATAGCTATGCGGGTAAACCTATCGCTTCCACTTCGCACAATCTAATAACGCGCTGTCAAACGCACGCATAATTTGCCCGGCTGCCTACGCCTATAAGCCGCGAATAATAAAATCGGCAGCGACCGAACGATTCGGCACCTGGACTCTGGTGAGTACCGAATCGGCGGAGAGAACACTCGGGCGTCACAAAACGAACGCGGAGCTAGATTTGGAAAATCTCCACGACGGATTTGGAAGGAACTCGACGAGGTGGCAACAGAAAAGGAAGGAAATGCTCGTTCGAGCCGCACGTAAAACATATTGTCTCCGTTTAGCGCGGTGGTTTCGAGCACCGTCTCAAGTGGCCACAAATCGCCTACTTCCGCCCGCTGAGACTATAGCATCGTCAAGAAAATAGCGCCTGTGACGCATGCTTCCACTCGCCTCTCTCTCTCTCTCTCTCTCTCTCTCTCTCTCTCTCTCTCTATATATATATATATATATATATATATATATATATATATATATATATATATATATATATATATATATATATATGTATTGGTGTTCATATGACGGGAAATGACGCTTATTTCTACACCCTGCGAGGGAGTATTGCGCAGCGTAGACGTCTATAGCCAGTATCAGCCGAGGTAATTCGTGAAAAGGCAGACTCGAAATGGAGCTTCAGAAAAGTAAAGTAGGGTTAAGAGAAAAGAGGGGGGGTTTCGAATTTCCCGCCGCGCGTGGCCTCCGAGCAGCTGCCTTGAGAAAAGGCATTTCGTCGTGAGAGATAAAAGAAAGGAGAAGGCGGGGGCGCTTCGGTCGGCATCGCACACGGCAGCTGATGGAGATTTGATGCGAGCCTGATTGCTTTCATTTCTTTCTACTCCCGGGTTTACCACACGTGAAACAGAGAGTCGCTGCTCTTGGTTTTAAATTGAAATGCGAATCGGATAGTGCCCCCCTTTCCCCCACCCACCCTCCAGTGATCGTGGTGCGGTTCGGTTTCGTGCTTGCGCACGGCCGCTGCGACAGCCAAAAAAAAAAAAAGTAGCCGTTCCTGTCGCGGCCTTTTCGTTGCCCGGGCCCAGTGGCGGCCCCGGTTGACGGCAAAATAAAGCGCGGCTCCGGCTTTTTGTTAAATCGCCGCGACTCGTCCAATGCGCCGCGTATGCTGCGCTCGAAACGCGGCTTCAAAGTATATACTGTTTCCTGCCGCAAATAGAAACCACGTGTTTGTATTTTTCCGCCGCCATACACCGACGAGGACGTGGTCGGTTTTCGTTTCGTGCCGTGTGTAGATTTCGGTCGACCTCGCCGTAACGGTGGCGTATCTATGACAACAGCTCTGTAGATGTATATAGACATCGTGTGCCATGATATTCGGTTACAAGCAAAGGTACCTGTCGATATCGCTCTAGTGACGAATTGCGACATAGAAGGACTGAAGGACTGAAAAAAATTGATTGATTTGTGAGGTTTAACGTCCCAAAACCACCATATGATTATGAGAGACGCCGTAGTGGAGGGCTCCGGAAATTTCGACCACCTGGGGTTCTTTAACGTGCACCCAAATGTGAGTACACGGGCCTACAACATTTCCGCCTCCATCGGAAATGCAGCCGCCACAGCCGGGATTCAGCCGGGATGCAGCCGCCATAGTCTGGAGCGGAAGATGTGCCTCGAAAGTGAAACCAACTATCCGCCACCTTACTCCTGGCAAAACAGGCCGTTAGCGACGGAAGCAAAGGAAAGTTTTTTGAAGCACTATGCGAAAACACTATATATAGAGGCACTTGTGTTTACAAAAACAACGTGAACGATTCAGAATGATTTTATTCTACTATGGAAGGGCTACGTCTAGCTGTGTTTAGAGGACTATAAATATTTACTATGGAGACCGGTAAGCTTTCCATGGGCCCCGATGACTACAGGTGACCGCTAGGAAAGAAGAGTATTTCTCACACGCACTTTCACTTCAGTGTGCCGTATCTCTTCGCACAGATAGTGCTTGGCGTGTGCCTTCGTGTTACGAGTTTTTAAAGATGTCTCAGCATCTAGGCATTTTGATTGATATGTGGGGTTTAACGTCCCGAAACCACCATATGGTTATTAGAGACGCCGTAGTGGAGGGCTCCGGAAATTCCGACCACCTGGGGTTCTTTAACGGGATGCACCCCATCTAGGCATTCTCATTGGAGGTATACTCATCAATACTTTTCTCGATGGGTTAGTCTTTCCCTCAACACCAATCTGTTTTTGTTTTTTTATCATTCGCCTGGCGCCTGCACGAACAGAACAAAGCGAATTTGTCTTTGAGCGGGCACCACTTGAAAAGGGCGCATGACAAAAACTAGGGGCAAACCGTGGCTTCAAATTTGCCGGAATTTTCACCCAAATTCTCCTTCAGCCTTTCTTTTTTAATCATCACTGCCCGCGACGTCCAAAGTACTAAAAAAAGTAAACTCAAGAGAAAAATTGTTCATATCACATTAGATCACTCTTTCGCTATTCCACGAGGCACTTGAAAAGTGAGAAGGCGCCCGACAACAACAACAACAAAAACAACAACAACAACAACAACAACAACAACAACAACAACAACAACAACAACAACAACAACAGCAGCAGCAGCAGCAGCAGCAACAACAACAACAACAACAACAACAAAATGCGGGTGGCGATCGACGCCAACTCGAAATTCCCGCGCCAAAAGCCGTGATCTCATAAATATTGGCGGCGCCTGATATAGGTAATCCGCAGTTCCGAATCCGTGGAAATGAACTCCGTTGTCCTCTGAGAGGGCCGTAGACTTAAAATACTAAGATTTAGGAACTTTTTCGAGCCAATGCCGCCAAATGACAGAAAATACACTTTGAAATCCACGACGTCACGCACGTATATCTTGGCTCGAAATCTAAAATTAAAACTCGACAGCTTTTTTCTCAAAGTCGCCAACCGATAAGAAATACACTTGGAAATCGATGACGTCACGCAAGTATATCTCGGCTCGAAATTTAAAACTAAAATTCGACAGATTTTTTCTCCTCAATTAATAAGCCTGTCACTGTATAACTACGGCGTGAGAGTCCTCAAAGTACAAGTTATCAATCTAATCCGATCCAGTGTTTCGTTTAGTGTTCCTTAAAACTCGAAGTATTAAAAAAAACGACAATTAGTACGGCACACGCCATGCAGTTTGCGAATCGATGTAATGCGAACAGTGACTTAAGAGTGTTCGAGGTGAACAGCGGGTGCAAACAGTGTTCTGACTAATGGTATTTACATATCCAGTTACGCCTTCGCCGGTGTGCAGTGCGGGCTTGCCTGCACTGCACACTGACAGTGCACGCTTGCTTAGAACATGGCCACCGCGTCACAACTCGTACTGAAGGCCACTGTAAACTCGGGAAGGCAGACTACTTCTACGGCGAGTGCGTCGAAAGGGCTTCATGGAACTTTCTTTTGATTCTGCTGAAGTTCTACGTGCTATAAAAGCGATGGTAGTATCGAGGGACTATGGTAAAACACAGTTAGCTGACGTAAACGGTATACATAGCTAGCTCACTTAAGTGGGAAGTACTTCGTGGATTCGGTCCCAATCACCCATTAGCATACGCTCCCTTTTAGTGGGTGTGACCGTCCTTTCGGTGCATTTTCGGATATTCGGCATATTTTCACTCTTTCGAAACGAACGTAAAACTGCTCGACAAACCCGACAGGAAAGTTGCAGGCTTAGGTTCAATATGAGATATCTCGTTGCAGTGAAATACAATCTCACCAAGTTCGGCGTTTCAATCGGGGAAACGCGCGTTTTTTTTAATTTTTTTCTTACAGGAGAGTGGTCAATAAGGTCCTCTTAAAAGCTTATCGCCGCCACCCCGCCGTAAGCTTGGATTAATTGGCCTATAACGTTTGCGACCGCGCGCATATGTGCAAGTGTAGAAACCGGGAAGATCAAACATTCGGCTTGAGCCACACGGAGCTCACTTTTCTCTTCTTTTCATATAAAATCACTCGCACACACAATTAACGACGCATCTCCGTTCGTCTCGCCTGTTTCTTCTTGCGCTCTCTTTTTCCTCAGTACGAACCGATTCGTACAAGAATTCCTGCAGCGTTTTTACCGCAGCGTTGACAAGGACGGGTCGTCCTATCCCGCATCGCTGTAGCACTATAGCTCTTCGATAGGTCCCACCAACGAGCCGGTGGGCGATTCTAAAACAGTCTACATAACGTATTAGGAAGTTGTGGCGTAACCGGAGATTTTAAGGGCGAAGCTCATTAAGGCGTGGGTCTGTACATCCTCCGATGTATGTAGCCACCGGCGGCACATACCCACTCTAGAGCGGGTATGTGCCACAGGGGATGGGAGATGGCGGTACATGGAGTGTTCACTAGATGGACGCACGGACGGACGGACAGACAGACTAGCAGACGGACTTACGGATGGACAGACGGACGTACGGATGGATGGACGCACGGACGGACGGTCGCGCGGACGGACGGAAGCAGGACGGGCTGACGGACGCTTCGCCCCACTCATCATCATTCACTCCGTGGATATGCTGTGATTTTTTCTCGCGTGGACGGGGGCGAGGTGGGGGGGGGGGGGGGTAGGGTGAGGCGTCAACTACTTTTCATATATGTTTTGCGTTTGTGTGTGCGCGCGTGTATACGTGCAGCGATGCGAACTAAAAAAAAATTATAAGGGTGTTCTAACCCCCACTCCAGCTCCTCTCGCTAACCAGTGATTTTAGATCAGCGAAAGGAAATCCAGGCCTCTTTTTGCTCATGGTTAAATGGAAGAAACAGACCCAACACGCGTCATAACCGACTTGAAACGGCTACTTGGCATCTGATTGTAGTACTGCTGACTGATGAAGGTATCCATGGTAACTATAGATTTGACTTACGTAGTGTCGGGAAATGGCGCCTTCCTCCTTTTGGCTGGAAATCGCGCCGAGGATAATCGCTTCCTGGCGTAGGAACGTTTCCCAAATAATTCTGAGAGTGAATTTTAGACACAGATGGAATGGTTAAGCGATAGCACCAGCATGCGCGCATACACCTTTGGTAAGATAACCCCGCGCTGACCACTGACCATGTGACACTCAAGTAATAAAAGTCGACCAGTTGGTGCAACTATTCAAGTATTATTGGCCTCAAAGTAGAAGACTGCAACAACGATGCTAAAACCTCCGTTAGATTTTCTTCTTTTTTTTTTGTCAGTCCTTTAATACTGGTGTCGGCCAGTCACGGAGATTTCAGCTTCGCGTTCGACTTCGGTTTCTTGGATTAGAAATGTACGTAAGCCAACGCTTTGTCAAGAGACACATTTACCATATTTGCTATGCGTTCACACCCACTGATTTGTTTGTGGCTCCCTTTCGATTCTGGCAAAAATGAAAGATCTCTTTTGAAGCGATATCGATCACATCAACCAATAAATCACACTGCTGTGTCCTCGTGTGGCTGAATTTGCAAGCTATAAAATAATAATAATAATAATAATAATAATAATAATAATAATAATAATAATAATAATAATAATAATAATAATAATAATAATAATAATACCAGTTTATCGTCCGAAAGTCATAATACGAGAAACGCCGTAGTGGGTGGTCCGGGAATTACGACCACCTGGGGTTCTTTAACGTGCCCCTAAAATTCCCCAGTGTGGGTGTGAGTCGTGCATTTAGGTCTCCATCATCATCATCATCATCATCATCATCATCATCATCATCATCATCATTATTTTCGCATCTATCGAAAGTGCAGCCGCCGCAGCCGGAATTCGATCCTGCGACCTTCGGGCCTTCGGATACCGTGACCTTCAGGTATTCAGATCCTGTGACCTTTTGGGAACATTAGAGCATGGAAATAGGCGTTCAGGTAGATCCAGAGACACACAGGACTCACGTGAATGTCTTGATTTGATCTTTTAATGTTCTGAAAAGCTGCGTACCATCTCACCGAATGTGAAGTTGCGGCGACCTTTACAACCCGACAACGCTCTTCGTGTGCGCAGGTGTACGAGCACGTGGGCCACCAAAACTCGTTCCGGGTGTCGCAGTCGCCCGATGCAACCTGCGACGGCCTCGTCTCCGCCTCCGAGGGCTCGCGCATCATGACCCTCACCAAGAGTAAGTGATCTTGCACCTCGATGATTGATTGACGTGTGCGGTTTAACGTCCCAAAACCACCATGTGATTGTGAGAGACGTCGTAGTGGAGGGCTCCGGAAATTTCGACCACCTGGGGTTCTTTAACGTGCACCCAAATCTGGGCACACGGGCCTACAACATTTCTGCCTCCATCGGAAATGCAGCCGCCGCAGCCGGGATTCGATCCGGCGACCTGCGGATCAGCAGCCGAGTACCTTAGCCACTAGACCACCGTGGCGGGGCGATCGTTTGCCCTCGGCTACGTCACCATGATTTGCACAACGTCTCACTGTTTCCAATCTGTTCAGCATTCTTGGTAATGGTGTGGGCAAATGAAGCTTGGCTGTTCATGCTCTTGAAATCACCAGCGTGACGTTTAAGGAAACATGGACATAAAAACAAGGATACACACACCACGACACAAAGTCTGTGTTGTGAGCATCTCTATCTGTCTGTCCATGTTTTGTTTTTCAATATTACGCTGGTGTTCCCGAAATCACGGTAACGGGGCACACCAAAGTAGGTAATGAGCTATATTTTGGTCCATTAGTAATTCGCTGGCAGGGCTAGGCCACCATAATCAGTCACCCATATTGAGACCCAGTACTTGCACTCTGAGCAGCCTAAATGTCTTTCTGTTTTTCTTTTTGACGGGCCCAAATTTAAGGAAAAGTGTGCGACTATTTCGTTCCATGCGGCCGCAGAGTTCACAAAGCGGCCTATGAGCAGCTCTCTCAGTCACACTAGGTCAGCTTAACAACTGCCTAATCACAGAATGTGAATTCCAAAGAGCTACGCCGACATCCAGAGCGAGTCGCTGTAAAAAAAAAAAAATCATCGAACCACTTTGAATGTGCAGCGATAACATTTCTGTCGGACATTGCTGCAGTCGTAATTACTTTGCGTTACCTTCATAAATTATTGTTGTATTTCATAACGCGATTTTATTTTGATTCATGGACCCCGCCATCTCGTCCAAAGTGATTATTTTGCTGGTTTTCTATGCCGTGACATGAAATTATCGTGGTCACGAAACGTTGAACGTACTGGTCCAAGTGTTCTCGTGCGTGTGCGTTCGCCGTAGAACTTTTCGTTCATTTGATACGGATACAAAACTGAAAACGTTATCAGTCCAATATGGCGGTGCCTGGGCGTGTCGGAAAAATGGCGACTTTTCCCAAGTGTAGGCGCCCCGCCGCGGTGGTCTAGTGGCTAAGGTACTCGGCTGCTGATCCGCAGGTCGCGGGTTCGAATCCCGGCTGCGGCGGCTGCATTTCCGATGGAGGCGGAAATGTTGTAGGCCCGTGTGCTCAGATTTGGGTGCACGTTAAAGAACCCCAGGTGGTCGAAATTTCCGGAGCCCTCCACTACGGCGTCTCTCATAATCACATGGTGGTTTTGGGACGTTAAACCACACATATCAATCAATCAATCCCAAGTGTAGGGGGCAGTAAGTTCGAGATCTCCTCTGGCTGACGCTTCTTTTCTTTCTATCGCTCGCTCTCTGTGCCAGGCCGGCAGCCCAGCGCGGGCTGTCACTTCCCGCCGTGGAGCGCGTCGGGTTCCCGCCGCTGGCACAGCCTGGACGGCCGGCGGAGCTTCGTGTTCGGCTCGCGCCAGATGCGCGTCCACCGGGCGCAGCACTCGTCGGGCGAGACGCAGCAGCCCGAACTGCGCGTCACGTGCATCCAAGAGCTGGCGCAGGGCACCAACGCCAGCACCCTCGTCGGCTACAGCACGTCCGGATGGTAAGATACCGACACACACGCTGCTCCTAAATGGAGAGTTTTAGCGATGCACGGAAATGCGGTACGCGAAACTCTGCCTTATGACTGTACCGCTCCTCCTTTCCCGATCATTGACCCTTTGCTGACGAATGCACCCCTACGCCGAAAAAGCTTTTTTTTTTTTCAAAAGTTACTGTTTGGATGCCATGCCGCACTGTTGCATGTCAGCCTACGTAATGTTAAAGGGCCAGTCAATAGGCAACGACATTTTTTTTTTAACATTAAAGAGAAGCTCGGCAATTTACAGAGTAGGCCGCGGCGATCTGTTTTTCCGAATATTAGAGCGCCAAGTGCCACGCAGATCCTTGAGTGCGAAAGACAATTCCTTCACTCATGGACTTTACGCAGCGCGCAGTTCGTCCATTGGTCTAAACTAGTCGCCACCACAGGCTATGCATTCCCTTCCTTGTGAGGGATAAAAGTGGTGAGGTCGCGCGAAAATTTTAAACCAGCTGAAACCGATGTTCTAACCCCTGTAACCTCCTTAATATGGCACGTATTCGCAAAATTATTGCGGCAGCATGTTCAAAAAGCGAAAGTCCACACATTTCTTTTTATAACAATTTTTGGACCTCCAGGTTGATAACTGGCCTTTTAAAGAGGCACCTCTTCGCTTGGAAAACGTACTGTCACTGGAACTAGGAGCGGCAAAAGCAAGACGAGCGAGAGATGAGGAACGCTACCGTAATGCGTACCGTATTTCTGGAGATTGCCAGAACTCTCTAACATTTAAGTAGGTGTCTGGAGAGGCGACTGCCTGGGATGATGTGCCAGAAGAGCACTCATCGCTCGGTCAGTGGAAGTCGCAGACTTGTGGAGATGACGCCCGCCCCCCACACGTCGCTTCCGTTTTCTGTTTACTCTATCCTTTCAGAAGCCTGAAGCCTTAGATCAAACGTGATATGTGGCCGTCGGTGTCACCGGCGTGTGCCAGAAGCGATGCCAAAAAATCAGCATCGCCTGAGGACATCGTTGCATGACGTCACTGATTGACGAAATGTGGTGTTATTCTGACGTCATCATCACATCGATATTACGTCACGTCACGACGTCAGCACGTGGTATCATATCTTCGTCAATATTGGGGAGAGCGCGGAGGCACTGGAAGGCCACATTAGGGCTTTCGGGAGGAGGGGGGGAATGATCAAGACAATCGACTAGGAAAAAATATGTTGAAGAATGGCTTTCAGCTTACAGTCGTCTAGACGAATGCATGAGATTCCGTATGGCTTTTTCTCCTGTTTTTACTCCTGTGACGCTCACCCTAATGCTATGCAGGAAATCGTTCAAACATTGTTTTGCTATCAATTGATTAACCGACCTCCCAGCTTGTATTTAAAGCGCAAATGCTGTAGAATAGCTTAATTTTTCTGTCCTTTGTGATTTCAGGGATCTCTTTGGTTGATTCAAGTTGAACAACATTTAGTAGTCCAAGGGTTGTTACTTTGCCTCGGTAAAGAAATTTAACCACTCACATCCGCACGGCAAAAATAGTAAACTATTTGGGTACGGTATTCGTTCAAGTTCGGTTTGTTAAGGACGTTGCGTTGTGCGTGTTATGTTGCTTAGAACACTTCCTGTGTTTCACAGTCGTGAAACTCCTTAATTACTTTCGTTTTTTTTTTCAGCAATAACGGCTACGTTTGCGTGGCTATTCATCGGAGAGACTCGCACGTATTGGAAATTCAAATGGGTGAGTGTCTACGACATTGAAGTGGGGACGTTTTTTTTTTTTTTTTTAATCCACAGAGACTGTAGATTCTATTAAGCGTTTAGTACGCGTTATGGAGAGACAATAACCCCAATAAAGCTGTCAGTAGGACCTACACCGATGCTTCGTTAGTTGATGGCCCTTTTATGTGACACCTCCTAGCCTCCAGAGCCCTCCAAAACTAGACATATCGATCAATTACCACACATAGCTGGCCCGTAGCCAGGAACATGTTTGGGAGAGGGGTTGGAGGCACTTGTTTATGACCTTTACCATTTCAGAAGAAAAAAAAATCAATTTTCATTCGATTTCTTCTGTAAGACCACCCTCCTCCATAAAAATATCAGGGGGGGGGGCGTTGGGGCGTACCCCTAAGACCCCCCCCCCCCCCCCGATCCTACCCGGCTCAGGGTCTGACACATGGTGCTAAGGGTTAGGCGGAACGGCGCTATCAAGAAATTTGAAGGTGCAAAATGTCATTAGCTTACACAGTATAAAGTAGGTTGAATATCGCTGTGCCATTGTGAACATAAGACATGCTACCTTTAGGTAGCTAAGTTGAGCGCAGTTCTGGCAAACAACCACGGCTATGCGGCGAAGCCTGATTCTGCTTTTAAAGACGACATACTTACCGTGACGGCGATCGGCATGTTTTGCGTCTCGAAGACCGGTGATTTACTTGACTGTCGATGACTGGGGTCAATTCAGTTCGCTGCATCGGCCAGGGTTGCTAGGCCTATAGGGCAAACAAAACGATAGACAAGAAATTAAAAAAAAAGCTAGCCCAAAATTGGCCAACCTGAGCCAAGGGGAGCAAAATATCTAAAAATGTCCTCGCGTGTGGCAAAGTAACTGAGTTCGATATATTTATTTTAACGAATAAATGAAAGTGGCTATAGGGCGAAATTTTAAATGCGAAGGCACAAACAATTCAAGATCGTAATTTTTATTTAAGCTTAAATTCTTAAGTTCAACAATCATTCCATTTAGAAATGACGAAATATTTGCGATGTTACGAAAAATGACACCCTCCTTGCGCGTCTCGCGCGACTTTTTTTTTTTTAAGAGACATCTTGCATGACTTTCCTTAAAGAAGCAATGTAGCTGAAAAGAAAATCCGAGGGATGTTCGCAGAAGGACTTGTTCCTGGGCTGGTTGGTGCTGTATGAAACTCAATGAAGCGCAAAAACGACATGGCGGACACAAAGAACGATGTACCACAAGCGCTACTGTCGATTTGTGATCTTTTCCTAGCACCCCCTGTAGCCTACCGGATGTACCATTCGCGCCTGCGTGGTTGGAACTGTGTGTCTTCGAAATTTTTCCTTAAAGTTATCAGTAGCTCTTGTGGCGAGGCGTTCTTTGTGTCCGTCGTGTCGTTTTTGTGCTCCATTGTGAATAAGAATCCGAGAAGTAATAGACAACACGTCACGTTCTTTTTTTTTTTTGCGTCCACTGGTTTAGAAAAAGTACCCGAAACTGCTCAAAATAACCACCCCGGCAACCCTGGGTAAAGCGGCGACGTCGAAAAATACAAATACTGTTCCGAGCGCTGTATTTTGTGCAACGCGTGGTTTTCAGTGGCGTTTTGAAGAAAGGCGCGCATCACTGCTGCCTAAGTGTAGCACATACACTAAGATAGCCCTGTCACACTGCTGCTGCTGACGATCGCACAATTTATTGGCGCTATTCGGTCATTCCAGCGACGCAGGCGGCGCCATGTAGCCGTACTCCGAAGCTGTCACACGGTGATAAAACTGCGACGCAGTTCGGTCTCTCAGTAGTCATAAACCAATGAACGCGTCTTCACGCTCTGCAAACGCTGACGTAAACGCTGGCGACATTACCGTCTCGTCCGCCATTTCGACCTCCCGCTGTGCCGCCTATCGCTGGAAGGATCGAATTCAGCGACCATTTACACTGGCACATCATCATCATCATCATCATCATCATCACCATCATCATCATCATCGGACACGGGCAGATCAGTGACGCAGAAATACTTCTGAAACGAAGCAGCCTTGACTGAGCAACAAGCGGAATACTGCGATGATATCCTTTCAGGTGAGCTGAGCCGAACTGCGCGGGACGCCTGCGCGCCGCCAGCGTTCGACCCAGTCTCGTCCACCATTTCGACCTTCCGCTGTGCCGCCTATAGTCACTGGAATGATCGAATTCAGCCACCATTTACACTGGCTGTACAAAGCACATCATCATCATCATCATCATCATCATCATCATCATCATCATCGGACACGGACAGCTCAGTGACGCAGAAATACTTCTGAAACGAAGCAGCCTTAACTGAGCAACAAGCGGAATACTGCGATGATATCCTTTCAGGTGAGCTGAGCCGAACTGCGCGGGACGCCTGCGCGCCGCCAGCGTTCGACCCAGAGTCACAAGATTTCATCACGCTGCTGGGTAAGGACAACGTCCGCCATTTTCCCGGCATTTATTATTTTTTTTTCGGCCCTATTCCTGGTGACAATGCCACCGCAATCGATATGGTGGCTTAGGTGAGGATTAGGTATTGAGATAAGGCAATTATATGCATGCATATAGAGAGATACAAATTAAGGAAAAACGAAGACGTTAAATTCTAAATGGTAGATCTAGTTTACTTTCCTATACAGGGAGAATGGAAAAACAAAGGGAAGAGCGGAGAGTTAAAGGCACGCTAAAAGAAATAAAGAAAAGACGAGGAACAGGAGTATCACCGTTGTAAATAGCCAACAGCCACTGCAAAAAAGTAATCAATAAAGCCTCAACCGACTTAAGGGCAAACCTCATAAGCGCGAAAATGCACGCGACAGCGACGAGCGATGCTATGAGCGACGAAACAGGGCGTTGGCGCGACGTGTCGCGTGCTCGTTCTCGCGCGATCGCTCGGTTCTCCATATTTGGAAACCGTCGCTCATCGTCCGGAAGTGCTGGGCTCAAGCAGCCAATAGCGAAAAACCGGAAAAAGACAAAACTCCCAAGCATTTCCCCGAGGGTGAACATGGTTAAGTGCGAATACACGGGGTGATGCTATGAGGGGTATTTATTAATTCGCACTATTATAGTTATTAATCACACTATGGTGCCTTTATGGTGTAATGGTTCCTGGGAATCGCAATTTGATCACACGGGGGAGTTTACGTTAACTCACTGGCGAATGCCAGCGAATTTTAACTTTACTCCCCCTCACGACCCGCTCTCGACGGGAGACTGAGAGAGAAGGCGGGCGCGCGAGAGAGAGGGGTGCGCGCGCAGCTGCAGCGAGCGAGGAGAGCGGAGGAGCGAGCGAAGGGGGAGGGGGTATAAGGCGCGTTACGTTACTGACACCGATATCAGCGTCGCGTCCGTGGCTTATTCGGTAGAGCGTCGCGCTGCGGCCCGCCAAGTCCTCTTTCTTTTAAAGATAGAGAGAAGACTGCGGACGCCGCCGACGGTGGTGGATGGTTTGGGGTCGCTTATAAAGTGTATTCACACTTAAAAACTACATAGGTGCACGTGACCCTGCCCGAGTCACGTATGCGCAACAAGAAATAACGCAATGTTTATTACGCATGTGCATATAAAAAAAGTGCTGCAAGGCATTCATAAACACTTTCCGTTCCATTACACAACAATATATCTTATTTTTAAATTGCATACCGCTCGCTACGCGGTTTTCTTTGTGTGAGTAGACGGCTTCATGCCAGCAACAGTGAAACTCGCTCGCCGAAGCCGTCGCGTGAATGAGGTTTGCCTGCGCTAGTTACTGATCGCGCGAAGACGATCTATACGTCGCGTCGCTCGTCGCTGTCGCGTGCATTTTCGCGCTTATGAGGTTTGGCCCTTACGCTAGGACGACAGTTTAGGTCGACATTCAAAGACTATTTGTTTCGACAGTTAAGACACCCAGCGGCTCTAACTGAGTGTGCAGGGTCCTCCATATCTCAGGTAGACGCCACGTCAGTATTCAAAAGTTCCCGGTGATTTCGATGTTTAATACATAATTCGAAACATTATTGTTGCGTTTGTCGACACCACTATCAGATTTTATAGAAAGAAAGTTTCGCTCGGGAAGTAAAACAAGCGTTCTATATTCAGCTTAAGCAACAAAAGTTGCGCTCCGCCCACACAACAGTGGTGCGCCTGCTCTTCAGCTGGGAAATACAGTCATGCAGATTTCCATTCGAACTGTAGGCACTTTTTTTTTTCGGCTAATGCAGACAGTGTGCATATTAAGAATAAAAATGTTTGTTGTTACTACCTAAAACGTTACGTTTGGCCGAAAAGGGAAGTGAGAATCTTTGACGAAAGGGAACGCGACGTTGAAGTTCCTGACCTAAAAGCAGATACACAAACCAGGTAAAGTGAGCAGTGTGAAATACTCGTGATGTGTTTGACGTTACGGCTATGAGTAAGCGCTACTGGATGGAGTATTTATGCAAATTCACTGCGGGTAGAATTTTCATGTCATTGGGAGGAGCTGCCATTATTTATTAGGTTGTGAGGGAGAATAGTTTTGAAGGTCTGAATACTATAGTACCTACACCAACCAATACGGCGCTTCATCGTGGGCGGCCTCGTTGTGCAGCTTTGTCGGCGCCGTTCGGGGGCGACGGTTCGGCGTTGTCGCATCCGTGTCCGGCGCTGGCGCTCACCGACGGCCTTCGGGCCACGGGTCGGGCATCGTGGAAGCCCGACGGGTGCCGGGACGTGCTCGGATGCCGGCGCCACAGCCACCTGGAGTTCCGGGCAGCCGGCTGCGGCGGCGAAGAGCAAGTCTTGTCGGCCGCCGCCACGTCGCCGGCTGCCGCCACTCCCCGGGCGCTGGTCGCCAGCAGGAGTGAGTACGAATTTTTTTTTACCGATGGGTATGAGTGCCGCCATATCCTTTGTGTTTTGGTTCTCTAAAAACTAGGTCAACAGTGTTACAGTGGACACACACGCATGAAAATTGTTGAATTGGTGCGTACAATGTTTCATGGCCTTGTTGGTTCATGTATTCACCTTTTCATAAACGCCTACCTCCCTGGGCGCCGCCATAGCCCTCCTTGGGCTGTGCAAATTGGCGCGTCCCCTCGAAAATGCACTGACAACGCCGCGCCCTTAGCCGTTGTACTCCCGCGCACAGCCCATCATGGCGGTGTTTTTTTTTTTCCTTCCTGTGAAAAGGTGTATACTAAAGCAAGAAAACATCAGCTTAAGGCTGCGCCAATATGGCTTAAAATAAGTAGTCTACGGACTCGCCTTCTCTGCGAAGGCATGCGCTACCGGTATACACTTCGCGTATTTTGCAGGGGCCTTTCGTAACTTTTTTCCGGTAATTATCCTATGAATTCGCTAAAACGTTTATTACATAAAAAAAAACACAACTGCCTCAACAATCAACTGGCCCCCCACCAAAAACAGAAGAAGAAAAAAAAAGAATAGCCCACAGAGTTTCGCACTATCTCAGAAAGATCACTCGCTACGGTCGCATTTGGTCAAACAAGTTGTTACGGTAGCATACTTATCTTGTAGCACCGAATGCCTACGAAGTATAGCAATGAAGTTTTTTGAAGATACTGCTTCACAGCGAAATGGCGCGAATCTATTGCAGAAGAGAACATCCTCGAGCACTACTTTATACAGCATATCAAAAAAAGTGCGTGTAACCCGACTCTCTCCTTTCAGCTTTCCAGTGTCACGGTGGCTGGCAAGAGAACGGCCGGAACTACCTCATCACGGGTCTCAAGGGCTCCAAGGATAAATTCTGTTTCGTAAGTGAATGTGCGGCCGTAATCATTCATCACCACACTGACAGCTACTCCTTCAAGAGACAGACGCCCGCCTGCGTGCAGTGGGATTGTCGTTGAAACAGCGCCAAAGACTGTAGCGCACTCACTAGGATTGTATATCAGGCCTACGCTTTAGAACCGATACATTTAAAGCTGCTCTCGTCGTCTTTATGGGACGTCGATCTTATTGCACCGAATAAACGCCAGAAACTATTCAATGTTGGGTGTATATCTAATGTGGAAGCTTCGCAAATAATATACATCATGCAGGACCCGCGTGAAGCTATGCGAATGCTATTTTGTCATTATCGATGTGCTGAAGGTCCGTTAAAATTTACCGGATCTTATGATCTGCACTATATCATTTTGAGGCCCGCCGAAGTGACGCACATGCTGGTTAATTTCCACCCCTAGGTGTGTATTAGCGTTAGCCTAAACCTAACTACACTGTCTCTTGCTTTTTTTTCGCTTTTTTTTACTTTGCTCCCATTTTAGGCAGCTGTCGCTGGGAACCGAAACCGGCGTCTTCGAGCTTAGCAGCAAAACACCGGAGCCGTTATAGCGGCTCCCGTGTTTAGACTATTGTCTAAAGTCCGGTGTCTATGGAGACTATAGTTTATATAGACTATAGTCTATATTCTAGTGTATAGACCAGTCTATAGTCGAGTCTATACCACGCGTCGTGTCGTGCAACCACATCACAAGTCTAGCACGAAGTGATGCCGACTTCATTATAAATAATGAGGAAACACGTATGGCAGAGGTAGTCCGGTAAAAATTGTTCAGTCAAGTACTACGAAAGTAAATATACAAAACCCATATGGTATTCTAAAAAAATAAGGTACGTTAGGGGCAGACAATGTTTTGCCGAGTTCATTCCTTCTCCGACTACACCTTTGCGCCCCGCCCGGGGTTTCAGCCGAAGTGATGCGGCACAAATAGGAACGGTTCGTAAAACGCGATAACGTGCTCGCAGGTGTTCTCCGAGGCGGACAAGGTAACGCAGCTGTCCGGCCTGCACGACACCTGTCGTCGCACGGTGTTGCCTGGTGTCACAGGGAACATCACTTTCAACATCAGCGCCGCAGGTGAGTGGCCACGCAAGTGCGCCGTTTCTGTCGTGGCGTCAGTGACTAGCTTAGACAGGCCCTCTGCCGGGGCTAATCACGGAGACCATGTTTTTGTGCGGCACAGTGTTGGCATTCTCGCTGAAGAATAAAATACAGGTTAGCAAGTGCCTGCTGCACTACTAACTATTCCAATGAGGCATCATATGTTGTTTTCGATCCAATACAGACGCCTCTGTTTCCGCATCAATATGGCCGCCGTCTTACACTTTTGTTAACCATAGAGTTTTATAAAATTTGGGGATTCTGGCACTGCGATCTATCGACGACCATGGGAGCACAAGTGTTTGCCAAGTCTTCGTGTTTGCGAGCTTCGAACTCACTCATGGCTATCTTTGTTCATTGCACTGTTTTGATTTTATTTTCAAGAAAAGAACAAACCGTTTCAAACTTCGTGACTCGATTTGAATTGGTCAGTCTGAAAAAAATAAGGTTGTCCAGTGCAACTGCCGAACATTTGCTTGATTGTCGTTTCGTGACAAAGCAGCTTTAAGCAACGCAAAGCGAAACAGAGCCGAAAGTACGATTATTTGACGAATCCATGTACTACCCATCATTTCCATCCTTTATGAAGGGTCATGCATTGCAGCTCCCATAACACTAACTCCAGAGTTTCTTCTAGACTCTACGATGTTGGCGAGAAGCTGAATAAGTACTTCTACAAAATCTTAGTGGGGAAAACCCAGAGACATTGACGCGGCAGTTATAGTTGCTATGCAGTGTAGCACCATAGTATGCACTGTAGAGGCACATTGTACCAACAAGATCAACAAGATCTCTATTCGTAAATTTCATGTGCGCTTATGTCGGCGAGGCCACGTTCTGGGACACTGGTCTTAGACTGTTCAGCTCGTAAAACCATAGTGAGTTTTTTCTCTTTTTTTGCGGAGAACTGTTTTTAACAGCGTCGTGTTACGTCTTCCTTTTTCTCGTTAAAGAGACAGGGACGTGCGAAGACGCACACGAGGGAGATTGATTTGATTGACATGCGGGGTCTAACGTCCCAAAACCACCTCATGATTATCAGAGACGCCGTAGTGGAGGGCTCCGGAAATTTCGACCGCCTGGGTTTCTTTAACGTGCACCCAAATCCGAGCACACGGGCTTACAACGTTTCCGCCTCCGTCGGAAATGCAGCCGCCGCAGCCATGATTCGATCTCGTCACCTGCGGGTCGGCAGCCGATTACCTTAGCCACTAGACCACCGCGGCGGAGCAACACATGAGGGAGAAGTCAAGACACCACAAACGCGACAAACTTTATCGTATCTTGTACACGTCCTTGTCTCCGTCGTTCTTGTATCTGTTCTTTCTTGTATCCTTTCTTGTTTCTTGAGCCTATCCGTACTTTCTTGTATCGAACAATCTTTCTTGCATCCGTCCTTGCACGCTTTGTCTCTTTAATGTGCGTGCCTACTTACTACCCCAGTCCTTAGTTATTCTATACTTTCCTTTTTTTCCTCTTGCAACATTTCGTTCCTGTTCTATTGTACTCTCTTTAGACTCTTTTCTCTGCACGGACAGCCAACCCATTTGAGAACTCGCTAGCCTCCCTGTCCACCAGTCTAGTGCTTCCTTCCGCTCATTCCTCCCTTTTCGCACAGGTGACTGCGACTTCCAACCGAGCGGGGCGCCGTCCATCATCCCCGCCGTGTCGTCCATGCCACAGCTTCTCGCGGCTCTGCTTTGCCTGTGGAGATGGACGCAGCCGCGGTGACGGTCTCAGGCGAGGGACCGATCCGCTGCCGCCGTGCCTGCACCCCGACCAGTACCGCCCACCGGAAGACGCCGCCCGGAGGAGGAGGACAACCACCGTCAACACCCACCGACGAAGACGAGACGACGCCCGAGAGAGCGGAGCGTCACAGCCCTTCGGTGTTTGTCTTCTGTGTATGTGCTAGGTGATCGCTGAAACTGTCCACAGTGTTCCGCGATTTCTGCATCCCGTCACGGCGGAAAGAAACGTCGCGCGTGATCCCCGCCGTGTTCTCTCCTTCCCGAGGATCTTCGGAAGACCAGGTGTGAAAAACGCGACCCACTCGTGGCGCCAGGTTCTCTACTCGTCAACCCTGTTACAAACCATCGTTGTGGACCGAACCTCCAAACCAGGACCGTCGGCGTCTCCGTGACGCGCTTGCTAGCTGCACCCAGTCAACAGTCGTTGAATCCTCGTGGGTGGCCAGTAGTTGTGCCGTGACCGACCTGTGTTTGATTTGTGGCAGACCTCTGGGTGACCCTTTAGTGACCTTTAGGTGACGTGCGCGTCGCTACGACGAGCTGGGGCATCCTTTTCCGACCGTCGTGATGGGGGGGATACGTCGGTTCGTTTTAGAGGGGGAATATTAGCTGTACTTGTTTTTTGATGACTGTTTCGCGCCCAGATGCAACCAGCAGGAGCTTTCTTGCGGAGAGAAAGCCATCGCGCATGCGTCATAAATAATGTGGTTGCTCGTGCGCCCCGCGCGCATGCGCAATCGGAGCGCAGCTCCTGACGCAGGCGCGTGGGTGTGATTGTTCAATTGCGGTTTAATTTTTTTATATATATAAAGGAAACATGCGCACAGCAACCAGCTTCTGTAGGTGCGATTGCGTCCAGAACGTGTTCTTCGTAAGGACGGCTTCTAGAAAAAAAATAATACTAGGCCATCGTTACGTTTCCGACACCTGTAACATAAACGAACAATCAAGGAACGCCCTCAAAGGTGGCAATACGAACTACTAACATTTTTATTATTGTCGAAGGCGTGTAAATTTTGAATAATCGCACTTATTTTTTTGAACCAACGTAGCGACCGCAATACTGATTTAATTCACGACGTCTTTACAGAGCCACTCGGAATGTACTATAACCGATGATTGTCTGTTATTAATATCTACGCCTAAGGCCTCTTCTTGCGCGTAAAACAAAGGTAAACACTAAATAGCTTCAATGACATATTTTATTCATTATTTTTTTTCAAAAGCGTAGCTGAACACCACGAAATATTTTTTCTCGTTTTTATAGCTGAACGTGGTTAATCGAATTGCGTAATTATAGTAACTATCGCTTCTGGCTTTAAGGAACACTCCATCGACGACACTGAATGAAACAGAACCGAATTAACGCCGCGATAGGAGAGACGCTTGACAGGTCCGAGCTTATACCGACGAAACAAGATGACTGATGGGGCAGTTTATCCTGCCCTGACGAAACAAAGCCAAGTGGCGGTCACGATTAGTGGTATGATGGCAGCTTGCACGCAGAATGCAGCGCGACAGCGTAGATGGGCTCTTATAATGGTCAGATTTAGGTGGGCGTCCGACAGCAGCCGTACGAACGCTGCCTGCCAGCCATTCGCAGTGGGAGGCTGCGTTCGTATACTGCAGCTGCGGACACGCAACTAAATCTAATTTCATAGAATAAGGACCTGTACCCGCACCATGCGCACAGCCACACCGCCCGTGGCTGGACACCTGCTGCACGCAAGCGGAGGTGTCCCGGCACGTATGGTGCGGCTGTGCGGATAGCGCGTGTACAAGCACTAAGGGCCGTTTCATGTACTCTCCGCCCAGCCCCAATGCACGTGCGTTCCACGCGCTACCCGCACAGCCGGAACCCTCGTGCCGGGACCCCTGCCGCACGCAAGTGGGGGACAAATAAGCCAACTGGCGACGCTCTTTCACCCTCCGCTTGGGTGTGGCAGCTGTACCGGCACGTGCGTTGCGGCTGTGCGGCAAGTGCATGGAACGGCCCTTAGGGCCATTCCACGCGCTATCCGCACAGCCTCAATGCACGTGCCGGGACCCCTGCCGCACGCAAGCGCGGGACACACAAGCCAATTGGCGACGCCCTCCGCTTGGGTGCGGCAGGTGTGCCGGCACGTGCATTGCGGCTGTGTGGGTAGCGAATGGATCGGCCCTAAGAGCCTATCCTTGCGCTATCCGCACAGCCGCACCGCACGTGGCGGGACACCAGCCGCAGGCATATGGAGGGCGAGAGAGCGTACCAGCGGTGCTCTTTCGCCATCTGCTTGCGTGCGGCACGTGTCCTAAAAGCGGATGACGTCTGCAGGCATGAAAGAAATAACTGGCCGACAGGAGACGATAAAGATGGCGCCATATGTGAACCATTTTATTATTTCAGTGAAGTGCGTTGGTTAACAGCGCACCTTTCAACGTTACCGGTCCTTGCAAAAGGTAGTGTCTAGTATGTTTTATCCGCATTTGGATTCGCAAAAGCGCATTCGCAGCCGATGGCTCGCTTTATTTTAGTCAGTGCATCGAATTCGCAGAGCCCATCACGGAGGCCATGCTGGCATGGTCCCACAATGCGCTTTTATAGGACACTAAGCATGGAGGAGGAGGAAGCAGCTAAGATGCTTAGTTGAAACTGGCAACAAATTTTTCCTGGAACAGCATTGCGCTCACACGCTATGCCATGTATCGATTCACATTCTTTAGCCTGGTAACTCAAAGAACGTTGAGGTATTTTCAGCATGTTGATCATCTCGGTGTCCACACTCGGAACGGGCTGCCTCACAGCGCTCGGCCCAATTGGCGCAATTTCTTTATCCCTAACACGCGTCAGCTCTTAACGGGGGCCAGTTGCGTATATCTCGTAGTCGCAATTCTAAACCGCGTTTCGCGATGGTCACCGTCCTACAGGTCTAGGTGACTGCCCGCCGCCGTGCGATGCGATCGTCCTATCGTGGCCTCCGCAATTAGTTCCAGCTACGCTTATTGCGGAGCGAATCGCGGGGGCCACAAGGCTCTATGCATAAAACATCCTCCGAGACGTCGCTTGAATCGAGCACTCGGTCGTGGCGTCCCCCAGCCGGCGTCCTTTGAACATTCCAGCGTTTCGACCACCACGCAGACAATATACAAATTAGGACCGCAACCCGACATTCGTAACTTATTGGGAATTCCGCGGTTTTCTTCGTTTCCGTCGACTCGGCCTGTCGCGACTCGCGAAAAGTGACGAAGAAACTCGCGCGTCCTCAAGTACGCGATTGTCTAGGAGCGGCTCGAGGATATTGCGTCAAAACAAGCTTTCTAATCGCCTCGATAAAATGTGAACTATGAGGTTCATCAGTAAAGTATTGATTGCGCCGCCCTCAGAGAGACTACCCAAGGGCAGCTCAAAACCGATTAGGCGAGCTCGTTACAGTCTACGTTTTTTTTGTATTTATTTCGTGTCCTTCACACCAATGAGTATCATCGCTATGCGAGATTATAACAACAACAACAAAACATTTTCAAAACAAAACTGCAAGGCCACTTATAAAAGGAATCGTTACGGTGAGTGACACGAATCGAATTTGCTGCTCTTTGCTACACTAGTCGGCATATCGCGCGAAGCTTTCTAGTCCGAGGACGCACGTGGGGCTATTAGATGCTGCGAGCTGTCAATCTTTAGTCATTTTGAAAGTGTTTTGTTTTATATTGTGTAATAAAGAGATATAGTTGGTTATACAGGTTCTTCCAATGAATATGTTCCTTAGATACAAATTGACGTGTGTCCAATGTGCAATCGGAACACTGCCTGCGGTGCTGTTTTAAGTTGATGGTGTAGCTTGTGTTATGCTTTGTCGGTGTCATTTTTTACCACGACAGCAAGACAAGGTCCGATCCAAAACACTATAACGATTTTCTCGTGCAATAATATGTTTTTTCGTGCTGGTACGCCATGGTGCAAGTAGTGTGGGAATTCAGAATTTACCGCGGGCATTCAGCTATACTCGCAACATGTGCTGCAATGTTGCTTTTAAATTATCACAGAAGGTATCAACTCTTATTAGAGAGAGAACCTTACAATGTTTCCTAAACCAATAATCTGATGTTGAAAGCTCGAATGGCACCAAAATTACGCCACATGGCCTCATAAATGAGGTCATCTGATGACATTGTCGCTCGGCCAAAGGTGGGCCTATTCTAGGGATAGTGTGACATCAAGTGAGATACAGAAATGTTCAGATGAGCAGGGGGTGCTATGTAATTGTCGGATGACGTCAAGTTAATACGAGTACCTCGTTAGAACACGGGTTTTCACCTGTGTATCGTAATTGCTGACTAAAGGACCAGAAAATTCAGCTTTAGCCTGGCATGGAGACTTCATTGCTACGGTAGGTAATGATTGGTTCAGTACAGGTATGCCGTCGCTCATTCCAGCGAATATTTGTTTCGAGAGGGGCGCCAAATTATCAACGTCTTGTTTGTCGAAAGCGCTCAAGTGAAACTCAAAATACAATCATGTACACTCACTAAAAACTCAAGAATTACTTTACTTCCGTCACGGAAGTTACGTCAGTACAAGAACACATGAGTAGCTCAGAAATAATATGCTCAACGAGTTCACTACAATTTTTATGTAATGAAACATAATGAAAATCGGTTGCGCAATATGCGCGAACGCATCACGCCACACATTAAGGTTGCTTGTCGATACTACGCCCTAAAGCGGTTTCCTTTGTGTGTGTGTGTGTGTGTGTGTGTGTGTGTGTGTGTGTGTGTGTGTGTGTGTGTGTGTGTGTGTGTGTGTGTGTGTGTGTGTGTGTGTGTGTGTGTGTGTGTGTGTGTGTGTGTGTGTGTGTGTGTGTGTGTGTGTGTGTGTGTGTGTGTGTGTGTGTGTGTGTGTGTGTGTGTGTGTGTGTGTGTGTGTGTGTGTGTGTGTGTGTGTGTGTGTGTGTGTGTGTGTGTGTGTGTGTGTGTGTGTGTGTGTGTGTGTGTGTGTGTGTGTGTGTGTGTGTGTGTGTGTGTGTGTGTGTGTGTGTGTGTGTGTGTGTGTGTGTGTGTGTGTGTGTGTGTGTGTGTGTGTGTGTGTGTGTGTGTGTCGATTTGTGGGGTTTAACGTCCCAAAACCACCATATGATTATGAGAGACGCCGTAGTGGAGGGCTCCGGAAGTTTAGACCACCTGGAATTCTTTAACGTGCACCCAAATCTGAGTACACGGGCCTACAACATTTCCGCCTCCATCGGAAATGCAGCCGCCACAGCCGGGATATGTGTGTGTGCGTGTGTGTGTGTGTGTGTTCGGAAGAAGACCCGCGGGATATCTTTAGAATGACTGCTATCGGTTTCTAGTTGCAACAACAAGAAAACAATCATCACAACAGCAACGTATTCCGAAGATTTTACGAAAAATATTCCGTCGGAAAACTGGGTCATAGGTTGTGTTCTAGCAACAGCGTGACAACTTCAGGAAGAGACAAAAAGGACATGAAAGAGCGCTGTTTCCTGTACTCTTTGTCTCTCCCTGAAGTTGTCGCGCTGTTGCTAGAACACAACCACGACAAACCAACTCACCCAAATTAAGCTCTTGTTGGGTCATTGTATGTGTGCCTGCGTCTGACAGTTCTGGTGTTTTCAGAACGATCCTTAAGTAATGTTGCGATGCAAGAAACTGAGAACTTGAACACATCCTGTAAGCGCAACTGCGTTTATTTGTTAAAGTACGGGTATTTTATCGAGATTTCATGCATGTCTGACAGGCATTCATGTATGCCCCACAGTGAAACTTTTGCGTTCAGACTCAGCAAACATAAATGCGCTACTTTGTCTTAATGCTCGAGTGATCCAGAAACAGCGAATAAGTTTTTTTTTAAATAGAAGAAAGCACGCATGCCGCGGTATATGCCCTCCACGCAAAGCGGTTATGTAATTGTCATCGTGACCTTAACGAAAGGTCAACTCATGTCGCTGCTGAATGAAGGAAAACGCAGCAAGACTCTTTCAGTGTTAGCTAAATGTCACGCCAGAAATCGATGTCTTAAAGGTAATTGGAGCATAAGCGGATACGCTGCCAGACGTTAGAACATGTAGACTATGTATGGGTCACTGCCGATGGTATTAAAGGGACACTAAAGAATGTGGCGACGATGCCCTGAAAATTCCGCAACAGGTCCCGGCGACGTACTCGATTCTCGCGGCCCCTGCAAGGGCCTGCGTAATCGTTTTTTTTTTTTCGCTGAATATGATTTAAATTGCGTTCTAAAGGACACAGATTGTTAACATAGCGAGCTTCGCGAATATTTATGTTGAAGCAACGACAGGGGAGGGAGGAAGGGGCGAGAATCACGCAATAAATTTTGAAGTTCGTGACGTCACACTGAAGTACACGTACTGATGTAACAGCGCGAAATTCAAACGTGAATTTTTGACTTTCACACCTTCATCTAATAATTTACTTACGATAGCAAAGTTATTCACGTTGGAGCTTTGACGGTATAACGTATTTGTATAAGCAAAATTAATATAACTTTAATGCCACTGTGCGAAATATAGAGAACCGCTACACTGGTATGTGCCGGCTTTTCGTAAAGCTACAAAGAGCCAACTGGCGTTTCTAGAAATAGTTATTTCGCGATAGCGTGTTAACAGCGTGGTGCATTCTTGTTGCACTTGGCGGGCGACCAATCAGCGCTCGAGACAACAAGGACGAGTCCTACAAACCGGTTTACTAGAGTGAAGAATCCGCAGGGCGCGGGTTCGAATCCCGGCTGCGGCGGCTGCATTTCCGATGGAGGCGGAAATGTCGTAGGCCCGTGTGCTCAGATTTGGGTGCACGTTAAAGAACCCCAGGTGGTCTAAATTTCCGGAGCCCTCCACTACGGCGTCTCTCATAATCATATAGTAGTTTTGGGACGTTAAACCCC